AKWAYMACCCTATGGTASTACGTAATACCCGTAACCGCATTAGAGAGTAATAACGGCAAAATTCAAATCCTGGCGTTTATCTCTGACCATGGCCGCACGGGTGTTTTTTTCTCTTTTTTGATTGACATTTTGAACACCCAACTCGCAAACCCCCAAAAATTATTACCGCCGAGCCGTGCGGCACGAGTACAAGTACGAGTACCTACGCTTATTGCATTGAATGCCAGTCGAGATTATAATCTGCTCGAAAGAGGATTACGATACGAACTCACCATCCAACGTTTTCGCTTCATTGCAAGCTGAGTTGGGCCTACCGACAAAAGGGCTCGGGCGTTCTGAGCATTATCTTAGGTAAAGAAAACGCCCATTCGCTTTCAACRAGAACGACTCGTATCCTCCTCAACTTACTCGGCAATGAAAAAATCACATGCATCTGCTGGTCCGACGTCTAGTGCTGGAAGAAGTCTGTTGMGAGTCTCTGGAGCAGCAGACAGCTTTCACCGGGTCAACAGTTGGTCGACAACGGGTAGTGTGTCCACTGCAAGCAACCGATCCAGAAGCCCTATGGTACCTTCCGCGAGTGCACGACCTTCTGTTCCTCCAGACAATCCGAGCCAGGTTGTGATGAATTCGAGTAGCATTGATACGAATCACAGCACGAATAGCATATCTCCCATCCCCTCMTCCGGGAATGCTCCGAATCTCCAAAATATTGACCGTGCGGAAGGGTTTTTACCACAGATTTCAGGGAGAGGCTTTCATATGCCACCCGAAGTCCTTGGACAGGCGGAAGACAATGCCAACAAAACTTCACAAATTAATTCGTCAGAGACTCGGGGTTCCGAAAGACATCCCAAAAAGACAACCACCTTGGCGGACTTGAACAAAGCATCRCGACGACGCTCGCTTCTTGCTGTGAAAGCAGTAATGTCGTCAGCGGGGACGAAGGCAGCSAAGGCAGCGGTTAAGGGAGTCAGTTCCACGGCTAGCAATCAGCTTGGGGAAACGATATGGTGTTCGGAATCCTCGATTTTTACAACAATACTCTATGGTGGCATGGAAGTGGTTTTTTCCTACATAGTCTCCCATCAAGCTGTTGTAGGGGTATGTTCAAGAACGAATTTTATGTTTCAGAAGTTGAATCTTTCATCAAAAACTCCCGTAGTTTCAATAACATCAAATTCYTCTTCGGGWATGCTTGTTATAACACACAAAGATGGTGTTATTCAGTCGTATATTCCCATCCAGACTGATCCTATCAATGTAGAAGGGTCACAATCCCAACGACGACCAAAATCGGTKTTTGGAAGATTTCGATGGATCGATTGCATGAGTATCGATGCCGCAGGAGTATTCTACAGCCGCAACGGCGAAGAAACAATAAATTTCTGCGACCGAAGACAGGGAAGACCTGGAGATATAGTGGATGTTTCYGTGTCTTATGATTTCAAAATCCTTGTCGCTCATCGGCAACAATTAGCTGTTTTCGATGCTTTCCCCCCATCGGTCAAAATCGATGACGCCGGTAGGTACGACGAAATYCATGATAGTGAAAAAACGGACAAAGTTGCGACTCTTTTATGGACAACTATTTTGCCATCAGCAGTTGTGACAGCCAAACTCTCGGGTGATGGTCAGGCAGTAGTTGCAATCGTTAACCAACCTGACGAAAACGGACATTATGGTGCAAAGACATTTCTACACGACAAGAATGACGGTAGCAGCAATGYCGCTGGGTGTGGGCCATCGGCATCGACTGGGATGGTATTTAAGCCAGGACCATACCTGAAACACGCCAAACCAGTCACCCGAATTTCATTCCGAGGGCTAGGGCATGTTACACCATCTGCTAATCCTGAAGCACAGCAGGGAAATGATTTGCTGCTAACCTACTGTAAAGAAGATTCGGCCACTCGAATTTTCAATCAAAACTCCTGGCGACAGTTGATGTTATGGACTGCTCCCCCGAATAGCCGAGCTGACTGGATTCGGGGGTCCTCGGCATTTAGCCTCGGAGATCTGGAATCTCAAAAGAAAGCGAACWACAGGCGAGGACTTGGTGCTGGGAGGAGTCACGCAAACACCATRTCATCTGATTTACCGAATGGCACGAGTTCAATCAGTTCCGGATTACATGGGACCGGAGCCTTCAGGTCARCTGGATCTGGATCTCCTACGAGTGATGCCGGCGCATGGATCGCAGAAGTGACCTTTCGAGGAGCTTACCCCGCGCTTAGACTCTCTCGATTAAGTTATATGAAACGTGGTAACGACGATTCTCAACCTGCTCACTTTGAAAGCATTGCTGCTATGCTGCCCGCTGGGTCAA